CGCAGGCGCAGTATGCTCTGAATTCAAGATGGGCTGTGTATGAATGCAGACAGCACCTTGCTGTAGATATTCACATCAGCTGACGAAGTCACTTACACAGGCGCAGTATGCTCTGAATTCAAGATGGGCTGTGTATGAATGCAGACAGCACCTTGCTGTAGATATTCACATCAGCTTCAGCTGACGAAGTCACTTGCGCAGGCGCAGTATGCTCTGAATTCAAGATGGGCTGTGTATGAATACAGACAGCACCTTGCTGTAGATATTCACATCAGCTTCAGCTGACGAAGTCACTTGCGCAGGCGCAGTATGCTCTGAATTCAAGATGGGCTGTGTATGGTGAATGCAGACAGCGTCTTGCTGTAGATATTCACATCAGCTGACGAAGTCACTTGCGGAGGGCGCAGTATGCTCTGAATTCAAGATGGGCTGTGTATGAATGCAGACAGCGCCTTGCTGTAGATATTCACATCAGCTTCAGCTGACGAAGTCACTTGCGGAGGCGCAGTATGCTCTGAATTCAAGATGGGCTGTGTATGGTGAATGCAGACAGCGTCTTGCTGTAGAGATTCACATCAGCTGACGTCACTTGCGCAGGATGCTCTGAATTCAAGATGGGGTGTGTATGGTGAATGCAGGCATTGCCTTGGTGTAGATGTTCACATCGACTTCAGCTGATGAAGTGACTTGCTCAGGCACAGCATGCTCTGAATTAAAGGTGGGCCAAGTGTATCATGAATGCAGACAATGTCTTGCTGTGATAGGGACTCCCATGTGCATGCAGGAATGACAAACACGGCCCAGTCATTCAAACAACCAGAAAGAGTGAACCCAGAAAGAAGACCAGACGTTAATGGCTCTGTACAAAAGGTCAGTCTGCCATAATGCGATAGTACATGGTGCACACCAGCACATTATGGTAGAAACCTGCAGTGAACCGTGAAAAATAAAAATTGTTGTTTACTACCACTGAGGTATGGTCACCATGCCTACCTATATATTCACCTCACAGCATGTACATTGCAAATGAATTCCGAACTAAAACTGCACTTCAGTTAGCACTGCCTTTCACATTAAATGGCATGGGCTGAAAATGTCATACATTTTGGTGGCTAAAACTATCTATAGCATACTATAGACCAAAAAAGCCTAATCTACATTACATTGATAATCACATACCACCAGAGAACAAAGAGCACAGCAAAGCGCGCTAAAACCCAAGGCAGGATGAGAGGGCGGGCTTCCGTTTTAAAGACTAGCCGAGCCAACTGGTGAAGGAGAAGCCTTCTCCTCCGATTACATCATCAGAGACCGGCCAATCTGCGTGTGGGGCTGAAGAGAAGCTCGGCTTCCCCGCATAAAAAGTCTCTTCGCGGCGCTCTGCCTCCTTAGTAGTTTCTAGTATTGCTGCTAGTCCTAGTCTCCTCCCTTCACAGAGTGCTGTCTACGCGGAAGGTTACAGTTCCCCTTCTGCCGTTGGTGTATCCGTGCGCGAGGCGGTGCAAGAAAGGAAGAGAGCTCTTGTGGTCGCCATTTTAGGTTGCTCCGTTCGCTAGGTAGAGGCATAAGCTTCTGCTAGATTTTGTTTTTTTCTCTGTGAGCTTGTTCCTTTAAAAGCCGTCAAGCTGGATATGTCAGGGGGTGGCGTGATTAGGGGGCCGGCAGGTAATAATGACTGTCGGATATACGTGGGGAACCTGCCTCCAGACATCCGCACCAAGGACATAGAGGACGTGTTCTACAAGTACGGCGCCATCCGAGACATCGACCTGAAAAAACCGGCGTGGAGGCCCGCCATTTGCTTTCGTGGAGTTCGAGGACCCCAGGTAATGAGTCGGTTATGCAGGTTGAGTGTAAGGCAGAGCGTGCAGTTTTCTCCTATGCCGCGCTAGGCCCAGCCTGCCTCGTGAATCTTCCACAGGAAGGTGGGCGGCCGTGCAGCCATGAGCACATGCTCGAGTAGGCCTTTCTAGCGCCCCCTAGGGGAGGAGGCGGCGGTCTGGGCCGCGTGGCTTTAACGGTGCGGTCTTTGTTTGCAGGCGTGATTTACGGCCGATGTACACACATGGGGGTCAACTGGGCCTGCACCGTGCTTTCACTGTGAAGTCTTCGGGCCCAATTCACAAAGCTTTAGCATAAGGGATGAAGATCGTCATTTAGCAATGTGAATATTATTTTTATAAAACCCCGAAGCCCGGGATCACACTGCAGTACGGGACACCACATGTAATTCCCACTGAGATCGCATGGTATTACTGTGTGAAATCCATGCAAATGTTTGTGTGGTGCAATTTGAGCCATTCATTTTGTATGGCTCAAATCGCATCTGTCCCAAAAAGTGGCAGAACCCTTCTTTTAAATCTGCACCCGAATCGCATTCTTGCGTGTTCTCAGCCATGCAACGCAATTTCTGGCAATCGCATCATATTTTGCGATCTGTTTTGGGGCGTTGTTGAGTTATCGTTGACACTTGCACTAGATCGCATTAATGTAATCGCAATGTGGTGTGGGAAACTGTATTGGTGTGAACCAGGCCTTAGGGCCCTGGTGCTCAACCTGTGGCCCTTTGGTATATGATATGCGGCCCTCGGACCTCAGCAGTAGTAGTGGGAACGATTATGGTAATAGCAATTCGCTCTAATAGCCTCCTGTAACATGTTGCTAGTTTCATATTGTTTTCTGCAGCATATCCCCAGCCAAAAATGTAACATGTCCATACATTCAAACCCTCATTTCTGCAGTCTTGACAGTCCTCTCAAGCATTACATATATTGAACATTATGTGCATCCCTTTGATGTCAGGGATAGCATTTCAGACCCTCTTTAGCTCATCCGATGACAACTTTATACAATTTTCTTATTCAAATTCCTTTAGAGTTACCTTCAACTATGTAGTTCAAGAGCCTGCCTGATTGCATACAAATTGAAATCATTTAGTTTTGGTGAAACTAAAGAAAAAATATACAAGAAGATTGAATAATGTATGGCAGGCCTTGGATTAAAAGCTAAAGTGAGGGCTTCTGCAAAATCTACCAGTGGAGCCCCCTTACTAGAGAAGATAAATGCTTGCGCAGGTAGGGGGGGATGAATGAATAAAAATACTTGCCCTAGGCATCATTCACACAAGGTGTTTATTTGCATAATTGCATTGTACAGCTGAATTGAGAAGGGCCACCCACATTCCAGCAAAATGAACCCTGCTGGGGATGATTGGATGTGTGCCCCATGCAGGGCTGTGTTTTGCTGACACAATTTGTTGCATGCATTCCCTTGTCAGCAGTCTATTGTAATGCAGCGGCTCCACGGATACAGCCACTGCTCCCAGTGTGACAAATGTCAGTGTACAGCTCCACACTTACCTTGGAACTTTAGTCAGAAATTAAAAGTCCTGCTAGGTCACTTCATCATGACCCCTTGAGCTATGAAAAGCATTAAAAATAGGTGCCTGTACAGTTTAAAATCCAGTAATGCACCATCACGTTCTGCCCTGAACATGCTCAGTTGCTGTGTTTTTTTTTTTTTTTTTTTTTGTTTTTTTTTCTTCGCTATGTTGAAAATCAAAGCCACTAGAGGCCGATCTCCTAAAAACTTAACTTTTACTGCTGGCCTTGGGCTTCAGCAAAATGGCAGCCTCCAGCAAGAAGAAACCAAACCAATGCTGGAAGTAATTTACAGCACACACAATATCATTGAGGAATGTATGTTCCTTGCTTAATCGCTTCCATACAGTGCACTTTTACCCCCTTCCTGCCCATTGCAATTTTCAGGTTTTCAGTGCTCACACTTTGAATGACAATTGCGTGGTCATGCAACACTGTACCCATATGGAATTTTTATCTTTTTTTCTGACCGATAGAGCTTTATTTTGATGGTATTTAATCACCTCTGGGGTTTTTATTTTTTCTTAAACCAAAAACCACAGAAAATTTTGAAAAAAAAAACACTTTTTTTTTTTCTTAGTTTTTGTTATAAAATTTTGTAAATAAGTGATTTTTATCCTTCACTGATGTGCGCTGAGGCTGCACTGATGGGCACTGATGAGGAGGCACTGGTAGGTGGCACAGATGGGCATTGACAGGCATCACTGACTGGCATTGATAGGTGGCACTGATGAGTGACACTGAAAAGCAGCTTAGATTGGCACTGAAGGGCACTGACAGGTGGCATGGATGAGCACTGAGATCTGGCACTGATGGACACTGACAGGTGGCGCTGCTGGGGAACGCCGATTGCCAGCTCTCCTCCTCACGAGCTGTCAGCGTGACAGCTCGTGAGGAGAGAAATGCCGATAACCGGCGTTTACCTGTGATCAGCTGTGATTGGACACAGCTGATCACATGACCGAGCCGACATCTTTGGCTCTTTCCGTGTATCGGTGATCTGTTTCTAAAGGGGCACAGCGCATTGCCGCGCTGCGCACTCCCAGAGCTGCGCGGTTAGAATGGGAGGACGTCATATGACGTCCTCCCAGAACAAGAGAACCGCCTTGCATCCGTCACTACTATATGGCGGGTGGGAGGTTGTTAAGCAGTATTGGGACATAGTGGCTGTGTCCATGAAGCCACAGTCAAAGTGCTTTCTGCTGTTCTGGAATGTGGCCTTCTGCTGAACAGCTTTGTGGAGCCAGTTGCATGAAGTTGAAATGTGTGTAGGCAACTTGTGCTAGCATTGTTTTTATATGACATCAATCTTGCCAATATTTAGTCTTTTTTTTTTTTTTTTTTTTTTTTGTCCTGTATTTTAAGCAAATGTGACCTTTTTCCCAAAAAAAAATAAAAATTAGAGACACTGTTCCCCTTCACTTTTGGCCTCCTCAAGGCTGCTGCATCTCATTTTGGTCTGGTACATGCTGCTTTTGCGTTCTGGCAGAGCCCTGTGGCATATCTGTAGACGCTATCGTTTACGTGTAGAGTTTCCAAGAAGTGGCAGGGGGAGCTGGTGGAAGAGGGGGTGGGGGGGTGGAGGGGGGGGCGGTGGTGGCGGTGGGGGGTGGTGGTGGTGGTGGAGGTGCTCCTCGTGGAAGATATGGGCCTCCATCCAGGCGTTCAGAGTACAGAGTAGTAGTATCAGGTAAGGGTAATATATGTGGTGCATGTAATTTCTGCGTTTGTCAATTGAAGTTATAGGTAGTCTTTGAATTCAGCATGCAAAAATTGATTTGTTTACGTTAACACTAACATTTTTGTACACTATAGTAAAAAAATAGAAGCTTTAGGTTATGAACATGTATAAAGTTAAAGGTGTTCATTTTTTTCCATCTCTGTTGTCCAAGACTAAACACCTTAAATTTAAAGGCTTAATGTTTTTTAAAAAAAAATAAGACATGTCACACTTACCTGCTCAGTGTAATGTTTTTGCACAAACCAGCCCTGATTCCCCTCTTCTTGGGTTCCCCACCGGCGTTTGACTCCTCCCTCCTTTCGGGTGCCCCCACAGCAAGCCGCTTTCAGGAGTTTTAATCCCTCACCAGATTCTTAAACCCCCCCCCCAACTTTATCCAAAACCAAGAATACTTTCACAAGAGTTCATTTTTTGTACTAGCAAGTGTTAAGCTCCTCTCTCATCTTTCATTTCAGGACTTCCTCCAAGTGGAAGCTGGCAGGATCTGAAGGATCACATGCGTGAAGCAGGTGATGTATGTTACGCTGATGTTTACCGAGATGGTACTGGTGTCGTGGAGTTTGTGCGAAAAGAAGATATGACCTATGCAGTGCGGAAACTGGATAACACTAAATTTAGGTCACATGAGGTAAATATATTAGATTTTCTGCTTTCCTTCTACCATTGCTGCATGGTTATTAATGGGGGTATTAATCTTGTGGGTCTAAAGGTAAGATTGTCTAGGCTTCTTCAATAACAATGGATTTCCATCACCTTCAGAGTATATCATCTTGCCTGCAATGCATAGCTGTTTAAGCTTGGCTTGTTCAATCCCAGGTTCTATCTGTTTAATAGGGAGAAACTGCCTACATTCGTGTAAAAGTCGATGGTCCGAGAAGCCCAAGCTATGGAAGATCGCGTTCTCGCAGTCGTAGTCGTAGCAGAAGCCGTAGTAGAAGCAACAGTCGCAGCCGCAGCTACTCTCCAAGAAGAAGCCGAGGATCCCCTCGCTACTCTCCCCGTCACAGCAGATCTCGTTCCCGTACATAAATAGAAAAGTGATGCTTCTTTTGTAGCCCCTCATGTTGTATACAGTTACTTTATTCAGTACTTTTTTAATTCACTGTTTTATTAAAGTTTTGAAGTGCTAAGCCTTCTGTGTAGAATAGTAAGGCTAATGCTTACACCAGTATCTTCCTTTTCCATTCCTTCATGCCCAAAAAGCGTATTTAGCAGTTGTAGGTATAATTTCACAAGTCGACCAGCCTCTCTTCAGAAGCACCAGTGTTGTGGTGTGTTGTCTGCAATGTGTGGTGGCGGTGGGGATTTGGGGTGGTTGTGGTTTAAATATTAACTTTTTTTTTTTTTTCTCCTTTTCATTTGTGGGGAAATCTTGTTTTACCTTGCTTTTCATGTGTCTTTCTGTAGACATATCTGAAGAGATGGATTATGGAGGACATTTCAATCATTTTAGGATTTTCAGATGGAGGCTTGAGGAGGATCAAATCAAAAATGGAGGCCATGGTATGACTCCAAGTGCTATTGTGAGACAAATTGGCAGTATTGAATTTATGCTATAAGTATTATAAAAGCAAGACCTTGGATTGCTCCTTAAACTAATAAAGTGCTTGTAGGGTGAAGTCTGCCACGATATTGTTTTGTGGGCCTCTTAACTTGTTTACAGTATAATATCAATACTGCTAACTCTGCATGTCCTCTCTGTGACTGACTGGTAAACATTGCTATTGTGTTTTTGTTTTGTTTTTTTTTTGTTTTTTTTTTTTATTTTATTTTTTATTTGTCAGAATTAAATAGATTTCAAAATCAGATGTTTGTAGACTATTGTTGAAGGACAGTTTATTTTTTTTTTTTTTTTTTCTTTTGATACCTAAAACTACTCATTACAGGCTTGTAGGTTGCAGCGCTTCCTTTTCCACTCATTTATACATTTTTAAAAGCTTTTTGTTATTCAATCTATTACCTTACAGTACAATTTTTGCCATATTCTTGTAATACACCACATTGATATTTTTAAGGGTTGAAACAGCAGAGAAATACAACATGCGAGATGTGGAAATGCATGCTACTATAGCTTCTATAGGTAGTATTGTAAGCCTTCAACTTTGGTGATGCCTGATTTGTTTACCCCTTGTGGCCACATTGGATAATTGTCAGGATAGCTCCATCAAAAATAAGTCCAAGCTTTTGTGTACACATAAGGATGCTGTTACTTTTCAATTTGATTCAGATGCTCATTGGACCCTTGGTGCTTGGGACCCCTTCATACCAAGTGTGTTTGTTTTTTTGTACCTTAATGCAGAGAATGCATTCGAATTAAAAAAAAACAAAAACCCTTTTTACCCCCTTTTCCCCCTAATTTTCTCCAATCTGGAAAACATGATCTGTGTGTTGTGCCAAAGAAACTTTTGATAGACCCCATGGGTAAAAGTGGTACTTCAGGCAGCCTAATAAAGACAGTTTATATAATTAAACTATCTTGGCTGCCAAAGTGATTGTAATTTGTCTGCTTAGCTTCAGGGTTCATACAGCTGTGGGCAACATCATTATATATTTTTGTCTTTGCAGCATCTGGTGTCATCTGCTTAGTGATGCTGTTTTCTACAAATTAAGACTCTTTAAATACTACTATAGCTTTTGGCTGATATAGTTCTGCGGAATGCCACTGTATATTTTAGCAGCTTGCTGCAAATTATGTATGGGAGTTAAACTAAAAGCATCAAGAAACTACTTAAGAGCATCATGGGGTATTGTAGTGCCCTTACTTCACAAGGGACCAGGTAGAACGTTTGAGTATGGCAAAACTGCATCACTCTTTAGTGTTTGAAGCAAACCTTTAGCCATGAATTGGGATAAGTCCGTTCAGCAATGAAGGCTTTTTACCTTCCTTCCTCACAAGATGCTTTAGAATGTACACACAGGCTTGGTGAGATGTAACATGCCGGCACAGGTTGGTGATGCTATGAATGAACTGTGCACATGCTTAAGAGTTTTACCATCCCAGCCTGTGCATTTAAGATGACCAAAGACCCAGAAAAAAAAAAAAGGGAGATGTCTGTTCCAGTGAGGGAGACTGAAGATGTCTTGACACTGCAAGGGAGGCAAGTATTTGTGTTTTGTTCTGCTTTAAGTTTGATGGAGTTATCCTTGTTCAGGAAAAAGATAACTAAAAAGACAACTTGAAAGGCCACCAAGTTAATTGCTTACAGTAGATTTACTTTAATTGTGGGAAATGGGGGGAGCATTTTAGGTGGGGTTATATGAGAGCTCAAGTGTATATTTTGTTTTCCTTTAAGTCAGTCATTGAGAGTAGAAATAAGGAAGCTGCCATTGCTGAATTTTTTTATTATTTTTTTTTTAAAGATGTAGGCTATGACTTTACAGCTTTACACACTGAGTCGCTGACGTGTAACAAGTGTGCAACACAAGTTCATACATACCAGATGCATGCTTTTGCCTGGCCAGGGTTTTTTTTTTTTTTTTTTTCTCTTATGTAAATGAAAGTTGGTCTCCAGGTAATGGAATTCTGGTGATAAAACACAGGTGGACTCACTGGTTGTTTTTGTGAGCTCTTCACCATTTTATAGATTTTAGATGAGTAGTGAATTATTTCTAACTATGCTTAGCCAGTTCATTTGTATCAGATTACTGGATAGAAGTCTTAACGCATTCTTCTTTAAAATGTGAATAATGCGATAATGTCACACCACTTTTTACAAGTGGTGTATATGGCAGTACTGCACAACTTATGGAATTTTCTGCTTGTGCAGAATATATAAATAGGCCAGAACAAAACATGTTGGCCAAGAAAGCACTTTTGACCGTTTTATAGCAGGTAATGCCAGTTTATACAATTTGCCATTTTAAAGATATGTGTAACCAAGCCGTTGCAAAAGGCCCACCAACTCTAAACGTGTGTTTTACAGTCGACCCTCCCCATGAATATATACCAGTACTATGACAGAGGTACAGCATGTGTTTATACCTAACACATCAAATAGTGACATTAATTTATTGAAGTAGTGCTGTAAATTACGTTGATAGACAATAATCTTTACGTCTGTTGGTACTTAGAGTTCAGGTTCTTGATTATTGGTTAAATACACATCTGGAATGCTTTACAAGGCAGCATAATCTGACCTAAATAACTACATTTTATAAGCATTGTGGCTGTTTTATTGCTTCCGCGATATGTGGGTATAACAAAAATATTGCTCAAAGAACAAATTGTCCCCCTGGGTTGGTGTCAAATGGGTGCTTTTATTACCACAGTTGTCAAATATTTAAAACAGACATGCTTCCTCTGGCGGTTGTGGTGGTCTAAGGGGAAGGATGTTATACAAACAGGTGTTCAGTCAGAAATGCAGTCTGTATTTGCAGCAAATCCCCTGCTGACACCTGTGGCATGATGGTTTTTTCTCTGTAGGCTCCCACTATGGCAAATTGGGGAAGCACACTGTGGTTGTAAATTTCATTGTGAAAATCTCTTCTGTGACACCAGCCTGTCTTAAGTCATGCTATGAACTAATAAGACGTCTATTTAATATTTTAATGATATACCATTCAATTAGACTTTTTTGGGAAATGTAATCGTTATATGTGCATACACTTTTTTTTTTTTTTCTTTGTTTTGTTTCAAGTCTGCACACATAACTGATCAGTTCCCAGAAACCTGTTTTGATAATATCTAACTCTGCCTCTTTTTTTTTTTTTTTGATTTTGCTGGTTATAAAGGTTTGGATTGGAGTGGGCTCACTGGATCCCAATCCTGGAGCTGTGGATCATTGGATTCAAATCATAGGAAGGAATGAATAGGATAGGGATGAATTGCCAAGATTCATGGAGCGGGATCAGATAACAAGAACATAGGAGTGGATTCCTGCCCCATCTAAACCCAATTCGTGTGGAATTTTTTTTTTCCTAATCATCCAATTGGCTATTGTATAGAATTTTTTTTTTTTTTTTTTTTTTTTTTTTTTTTCTTTTTGTATACAAGTGGAGCGCTTAGGATGCCAGAAGGAGTTGCAAGTTTTTCTTTTTAATAAAAAGCAAAGAGGAGACCAGAGGCACGCTGGAGCCATCCCCTGGGAAGGATACAGCACCAATAGATGGTAATTAAAAGGGATAATGGGAGGGTTGAATTGAAAATAGTAAATTTATATCAAATTTGAAGGGGATGGGTTTTAAAAAAAAAAAAAAAAAAATCTAGGATTTCAATTGGCCTGTGAGGATTTTGCTGCTGAATAATAAATGAATAAAAATTTAATTGGTTTCTGTGTGACTTTTTAGTTCTGATGGCCCCCAAATCTAATCTCTGTAAAGGTAAGGCTCTTTTGCTGTTGACACAATATTTTGTTGCTCAGGTTTACTGTAGAATGACCGTTTTAATGTGATCATTAATACTATTGCTATAGCACACTTTTTTTTTTGGTAGATTGTTAAAGTGGTGTTTAAAGTAGCAGTACTAACAACCAATACCTTTTATCACTTTCTACATTTTAAAGCTAAACCTGAGTCGGCTGAAAAAAGTACAATGCAGAACTTTCCCCCTGGACCCCTCCTCCACCACCATCTATTTGTTCCTCACTTCCTCTCTGCTGTTCAATCAGTTCCCTGAAGCAATTCAGCTAGTCCACCGTACCTCTGCAATCATGTGCAATGAAGGATTGGTGGTCTTCCACTGTACATCTGAGGGCCTGTTTACATTCCTGTCCTGTGTCTGTTCAGTAGAGCACCTGGGCTTTACTGTGCAAATGTAGCAAAGAGGATTTGCAATGCTGGAGGTAAACCGTCCCTAGGGGCTGTTGCCACCAGATCAAGGCAAGTATGCATCTCTTGAGCTGTTAGATCAACTTAAAGGGGCAAACAGGATCAGTGCACTTGTCCTCCAAGATTGAAACGTCAGGCCCTATTGTATCCTATTATGTGCATTTAAATAGAATCCTGTCATCTGTTTTGTACTAATTTCCTGCATATCGGCGTTCAAATTAGGACAGAAAGGGGCAGCATTTTATTGGTTTGTACAGTACAAT